CTCAGCACTATCCCCCTCAGACTTCTCTAGCATCATGGGTGGAAAATCTGCCAAACCTGGGGAGGGCTCTTGGGTCTGGGAGTTGACGGGGGAGCTGGTGCTCTGGGAGGGGGCAGTCGGAGGCAGGGGCCCATTTATATGGGTGTCCCCCGCAGCATTAAAGTCCTCCGCCAGTCCGTTTCCATTTGGCATCACGTCTGAACTGACCGGACCTGAAAGAGAACGGGGGAAGAGAAACCCTGAGGAATGTGACAATTAGTCCTGATGAGTTCTAGTGAACTACTAATTACTGGAAATTTCAATAAAGTATCTATCTATCTATCTATCTATCCATCTATCCATCTATCCATCTCTCTATCTATCTATCTATCCTTCATCTATCAATCTATCTACACTGCAGAGAGGAAGTTATTCCACTTGGCAAGCTGACTCTGTTAAACTAAAATGGGTGGAAACATTCTTGCAGCACGTGGATAATGATGCGTCCCTTTAGCTCATCTACTAAAAGGAAAACACATCATTTCCTGCAAAATTTGGAACCACTTTTGTTATTTTTATACAAGAAATTCTGTTTCTGCTCTTCTCACTGGTTTCTAATGGGAAGGGCTTGCTTGTCACTGGAGTCTGTGAGTGTGCACCAATCAGAATTGAGCAACAGTTTAATCTAAATCTGATGACAGTTGTGTGGGGTTGTTTGCCCGGCCACAGAGAAGCAAATGTGATAAAACCACACCCACAAAGTTACAGCAAGATAGATAAGATTTTTGAAAAAGAAATATATTCATACTACAATTGAAACAGGAAATGAAACCAACATGGTACTTAAACGATGATATTGATTTGACACTAAACAATCCAACACAATAGTCATGTGGAGCTCTGTTTGGTCTTTGAAAACATGTCTTACGTGGTTCTAGAGGAGAGTAATTTTTAAAGTCTTGCCTGTCCCCACATTTTTTTAAGTATATAAGGTCATACATATTTTCAGTCACTTTCATATTACCTTCACCCAACCAGTGCAGACCGTAGCATAGTTTCCCGCTGAAACTGACTAATTAAAAATGTATTTAACACGTCAGTTCAAGAGCCATGATGCAACATGGAGCACCAAGCCTCATAGTAGCAACTAAAACAGGTCATGCATGTTGGCATTCGAGTGTTACCAGTAATATGCCTGCAGGGGAAAGAACTTTGCAGATCAGAGCGCGGAGATGGAAACACGCTTATTACAGTACGAGTGAAATCATTCCAGTAGGAGTATATATTATAGTTAGGCCCAACATAAAATGATTTCAAGCTTTTAAAATCCTTGTTATATTGAATAAACTGACAGATAAGACCACCTGTTTGCGCACTGGGACATGTCTAGCCTGATGTTGGATTGTATGAAAACTAATTTTGGTTTACAAGTATAATTGCATACTTTTTTTTAATGAATTTTGTTTGATGTTTCTTTAAGTTTTTCTCCAAGTGTGAGACATGTCTAAAAAGTCATAGCTACCCAATTCTGGTTTATTATGCACTTGATGGGAGTGAAAAAAGGCGTCGTATCAAGAGATAACTTCAGGTCATATGCTGTAAACAGGGAAACCTAATGAAGTCTAATAGAAACAGCATGTACTCATTCATACACATATACATATACATATACATATACTCACCATTATGAGTATTTCCCTTCATGTTTGGTGTGTTGTCCAGCCCTTGTTGTATCAATTGTGAATCACCTTCCCCATTGGATTTTATAACACGGTCTTCTTGAGTACCCTCCATTTGAGTTGCTCCTGAATGGTTAGTATCCATTTCCATTAAGAAATTGAACAGTCACAATAATGCTGGTGCACTTTTGAAAAAAGACTTCTCACAAAACCATCTTCTTAGGAGCTGGGAGCAGTGTCACAGGCAGCACTGAAGAGAGAAAACATTCAGTTGAATCTATCATTTTTTTTTAAATATGACACATTATTAAGATAAATATACATGACAGAAGAAGTTGTAGCTCCTCAGTAGTGATCTGTTCTGGACTAACGATATGTAACGGCATAGCCTGCTTTAATTTAAATACAGAGGGGTCAAGGGCAGGCAAGCAGGCCAGGTAGTTAAGTAGATTGTTTCGTGTTAAATATAGATTAACTAGCAACTCTCGTTCATTTGCTTTACCTTGACACAAACAGATGCAACACACTGGGTAACACAGGCCAAAGCAAAGGTTCAATGAGAACAGATTGAGTTCAATCTGAGCAGGAATGTGAAGAAGCTGTTGATAAGGCAGCTAATCACCTTATCAATCAGCAAACCGGCATTTCAAGCAAAGCCTTTCAACTGTGATACATGAGCTTAGAGGGGAATATCTGCCTTATAGAAAGAGAAGCAGCTCCTACAATACATGTTTGTACATTTGCATAAACACCGCAAATGGTGAACAGATTTTTTTTTAAAGCTTCTGCCATTTCTTTTAACAGCTTGTAAATATATGCAACTATCGACCTCAGCATTTCTTTATTTGTCCCAAAGGGAGACATTTACAGCGTTACAGCAAAGGTGACATAGCAAGCAAAAAAGGTAAACAATAAAAAAAGAGTAAGCTAACGTGTTAAATATAGAGAAAAAGCACACATTGGTAATTAAATAAAAATAAAGACAAATACGTTCTATGATAGTCCTTTCAATAGCTTAGTGAAGATATTGTAAAAATTATGTTTTGCACATAAAACACATTATGATTAATTGCAAAGTACAATTACAAATAAAGTGTTATTGCACACAACTCCGGCATGTTATAGTCCTATCATAAAAGGCATACTATAGCTATACATGATCACCTTTGACTGAAATGTGGTGTTGCTCAGTTAGCCATCTGACAGCAGATCAGTGAGCTAGCCTGTGTTTAGCAACCGTCAGAAAAATAAGACTGCCATTGATAAACGTACATTAAAATGCAGTTAAATTACGTCCATGTGTTGCCAGAGTTTAGTCAAATAATACAGCTATTGTGACAAGAAGGTGAGACTTAAATCGAGACTAGCTAGCGAGAAAGCTAACTAGCTATATATGTTTACGACGGAACCCGTCAAGCTAACGGTGCTAACTCGCTAGCTAGAGTGATTTCTCAAATATTTAACAAGATTCAACGAAGTACCTTATGTCGAATAGGTTTGTTACAGAACCCCATGAGTAAATATGTAAATGACAATTTGTGTAAATGTAGGAAAAGACTATAAATGCTCACCCTTTCTGCGAGCTTCGCCTTTTACTACGTGGCTGTTTGGGTTCCGTCCACTTATCTGTCCGACGGGAAACAAACTGAGGGACACACACACACACACACACACACAAGCGCGCACACACACGCAAACACACATGTCTAGGAGTACAACCTTTGGATTTTAAATCTTTAAAGGTAAATAAAATATTGCAAGGATTATATTATAGCAAATGGGTATCGCAATTAAACATTTATTAAATGAAGTATAAAACAGAACGGATGATGCTAAGAGGAAATGTGTCGGATGTGGTACAATGCTTCACTCTTGTGGTCAAAGAGCTGCGCACTATTTTCCAGCACAGGCAGTGCAGGTGCCAACAGAAGTGTCATTAATAAAGCTGTCATATTTGAGTTCAGCGCCAGACTGCAAGGACTACATTAATACGCACTTTATAATAATACATTTTATTTAAGGCGCCTTTCATGACACCCAAGAACACCATGCAATTTGTTAAATAGTCTAAGAGGTAAAAGCAAAAGAACATGATAAAAACACAAATATACCATAATGGAGAAGAGTCGACAATTAAATTGGACACAAATCATAGGGACAGGTTATTCAGGGGAAACAGATGATAGGGAGCACTACAGTGAGTAGGCTGATCTGAACAGGTGGGTTTTGAGGAGGGACTTGACATACAATCACTTTATGATAAAATGCCACTGCTCAATGCAATTGGGTTATAGTGGATTTCAGTGGTGGATAGTAACTACTGTAAGTAACTTTACTCAAGTACTGTACTACAATTTTGTGAGAGTTGTACATTACCTGAATATTTCAATTATTTGCTACTTTGTTCTACCCCACTACAATTCAGAGGTAAATCGTCTACATATACACCAGTCATGGGTGTCACTTTGTTAGAAAAAGTGGTGGGAACAATTTCTCCAGATTTAACATCAGTATGCAGGAGACAAAAGATGATTGAACCTGAAAACACCTGCATGAAAATCCAATGCATAGACCTCTGGACCACCAACGTGTTCTTAAAATAATGAACGCCTAGGAGTCTAAGGGATGGGATTTTTGGAGAGACATGTTTTAAACGAATGTACGTGTCTGCTTTGCTTCTTTAGTTCGCAGTTGAGATATTGCAACAGGTTTTGTCCTTAAAAAGTAAAACAGATTATGATCTTCAAATATACAAACCCAACTGTTAAGATTGTTGATGAAACCTCTATCTATAAGGGGTACAAAGCAAAGCTGTAGGTCTGTGGTTTGCTTCCATCTGTTCTTATGGAACAATCGAGGCTGTGGTAATTGTGGTGTAAAAAACAGGAGCTTAAGTCCAGTTTTTTCTAATGACATGTTCAGGAAACCTGGCTCAAGATGTGCTGGTAGCCTTGGGAAATCTGGGAGGACGTATTGTGTGCCTAGAAGCTTATACAAGCAAGGCCAAGTTCATTTTCTCTCTTCCTTATCTTCACTTAGACTTCAGGCCGCTGCTGGGATGCCTGTCTCCTTTGAGCACAATATGGAATTAAATATTTTCCAACGTGTTTCTTTTCAGCACCACTTTGTGACTCTCTTATTTCTTTGCATGTCCTATTGGGACTCGTTAAAACAAGTGTTTCAAATGCCACTTAATATTCTTCACACTGCACAACATAATGATAAAAAGTATGAAATCGTAAAGCTACGGCTTTATCTGATGGCATCACTATAGAAATGAGCTTTACTGAGTCTCTTAACAACATGGAATCATATAAAAACAAAAATACATGATGGGTTTGATTAGATTATAATGACATTTATTGGTTTTCGCAAATTATTTCAGTCCCATGTTTTACATACAAATATATCCCAAAAAAATGAATGTCAAATGTTGGAGAGAAAACATCCTTTTGCCTTGTCATGTGTTATGTGTCCTTTGCATGTGTTCAAAATGGTATACTAATAAGAGAGCATAATCAATAAAATATATAATATGTAGAACTATAAAACGAACAAGCTACAGTTGACTTTAAATGAGAGTCAATTCAGGAATGAGATTTTATAGATAACTTACAAAAGATCCCCAAAATACATTGAGCAATACATATTTAAACATGTTACTATGGGACAGTTTCATTCCACAGGCCATAATCTTAATTTTAATTTATTCATTTATTTAACAGGGACAGTGCACATTAATGAACATTTCTGTAAATGTGCCAGAGTTAGCCAAGAGGCTATTTTTCATCTGTAGTCCCTGGACAGATTTTAAAAGTCAATCTAAAACATATTTCATTCATAAGACTGTTAAACACCTGAACTAAGAACATCCATAACATTCACCTGTTTGCAACTTACGAATTATGTATCACTTGTATATAGACTCTTATGGCATTACTTCTATTCTATTTTATTGTATTTACTTGTATTTATCAGTTTTATTGTGTTGCACTGTTGGAGGAGCCTGCGACCTAAGATTGTCATCAACATAACTACACTGTAGCTATGTACAAATGACAATAAAAGCCTTGAATCTTGAAAAATGTTTCAATATCAGAGTCAAATCTAATCATCAACACCCCCTTCGCTCACCCCGTCAGGGTTTGGCTGGACAGAAATGCTTGGACATGAGAATGCAGATGTTTTTCCCACACTCCCAGCACTGCTGCTTGATGTGTGGAGCGCCCTGCTGGGTCTTTCTCTTACACAGTGAACACACCTCTGCAGCACCCTCACCTCCTCTTCCAGATGATTGTATCAGAAGCTGTTGAAGTTCTTTCTGTATGGAATCATTTGGTGCCTTTGCGATGCCTACCACTTTCACTCTTTTGGGATCAAACACACAGTCCTCCTCCAGGCCACTGCGCACTGCTAGGAGGCCAACTTTGGGGGGCACCCAAGCAGTGTCGTAGCCATGTGAGTGCCATGTTTGCTGCATGGGATGGTTGTCCTTGTCAATGCGCTTGACACGGCCAACGCGCACATGTACCTGAAGGACAACTCGGTCCGTAGGATTACTTTTCAGAGGATAAGCTGTCGCCTTTTTTATATTACGACTGACATACACGCCCATTCCCAGCATGCCCTTTGAAGACTGTTTAAAACCGTTGGCAATGATGACTCGTGCACTGGTGATGCTGGTCCCGTGGTACATGGTGTAGACGCCCCTGCTTCGGGGTTTCTGGGACGAGTCCAGCTCCAAACCAGGAAAAGAAGCGCCATCGTCAAACACCTCCCAGCCGGAGAACTGCACTGACATCCTGGTTCAGACGTGTGGCTAATGGAGGATGTTGTAAAGACTCCGTAAAGATCGGAAATTCTGTAAGAAATTAAAAGGGAGATGTGGCATTATGTTAGAATGAATATCAATCAGGGTGTTACCTTAACCCTCCTGTCACAAAAGTGGTGATCAGCAATTTTCTATGTTCAAATGCCTACTGTGGAAGGTAATCATAAGGCATTCAAGCAATCAGTGGTAAAACACAATATTTATGATTGATGAAGGTGGTAAATCGGTCAGATTTTACGGCAACACAACATGAGGGTTGTGAGGTTGGCAAGCAAAAGCAATGAGACAGTGTGGCTAGCTTGGATTTCTTCTGTGAATTGATATATATTGTGTATTTATTTCAAAATGTGCCTTGACCTCTTTTGTCACATTAAAGCACTCTAAATGCTTGAAGGTATAGGGTAGGTAAGAATGGAGAAATCAGCTCGAGTGCGCTAGAATTTGAAAGTACACAACCGAAAAAAATCTGCCCCTTCCTTCAGACTTCCTTACAGAGCCCCTCCTCCATCACACACGAACGCGCACATGACCAATGAGGGCACGAGATAAGTTTGTGCACAGATGGAAGGCTGGTAGGCCATCCAGTTATTTTAGCCGGGCCTGCTCAGATAATTGAACTTGCTTTGTACAGCGCCACGGCTTCCACAGATGAAATATTTGTATATATTTATTGTCAAAGCATTTAATTTATTCATTGCTATCGGGATGTTAAGAGCATTCCATGGAATATTACAAAAAGTGTTTCTGAAGTGAATTACCTACCCCACCTTTAAGAGGTTCTATACCACATGTGTCAAACTCAAGGCCCGGGGGCCAAATCAGGCCCTTGGTAGATTTAATTTCGGCCCGCAGGATAATTTCTAATTACTTTAAGATCTGGCCCGCCGGTATATTGCACGCACACCTTCACTCAATCCTGAGGGTTTCCTCAGCTCAGAGCCTGACCCCAAACATTGAGGAACTTGCACCCAAGATGAGATGCCAAGTATCTGGCTTGAACTAGCATCACAGAGCAGCAAACAGAGTTTCAATGGATGTTTCCTTCTGCACTTTTTTTCTTGAGACAACAGAGCATGTTTGGTTTTCTCTTTGAGGGAAGTTGTTTTTTTGAAGCTGTTGTTGGCCTGTGGAAAAATGTAATCATAAGAAATGACTCTGGAAAAGCTGCAGATAGAGCCATAAGAAATGAATGCAACTGATTATTTAATGTTTAATGTTGTTTTTATAGGCAATAATTTAAGCTTTGTTAGTTCTAGGTTTAATATGTGCAATAAGTTCATTTCAATAAGTTTTGCAATAAACATTGAACCAGTCCGGCCCTCGACTAGTACCCATTTTTTTATTTTGGCCCACTGTGTGTTTGAGTTTGACACCCCTGGTCTATACAAATGAACTTGCCTTGCCCTGTTTTGCTTCCTCCTTGTATGATTTAACATTGTAACTTACTAAATCACCTGTGTTTGCTTCCTTGTCAGAAGTGAGTCCATATTGTAGCCTCTCAATAATGTTGCTAACCTTGCTGGTTGTATTGCACTCTTATTCAGTTGGTCTGCCTTTAAAATTCGAAAAACATTACATGATAGTTTATTCAACTATAGCTGCAGTCCGTGTGTAACAGAAAAATATGTTATAAGTCAAATACAACTTTAGACATTAAGGAACACAGGACGAGTAAACATTGTAGTTTTTGTCAGCCTGAACATTATCACTCTGATAGCCATAAACTGTTGCATGACTGATGTTATTTTATTGACTTTCTCTATAAATCTAACAAAGTAAAACGCATTAACATGTTTAAACTATGAAATCTTACCGTCAGTAAGGAGTTACCAGCCAGGGATATTTACCTTTCGGTTCTGTAGGTTTCGTTTATTCCTTGATTGTTTGATTACGTCACTATTGGAACTACATATGGCCGGTTAGCTCAGTTGGTTAGAGCGTCGTGCTAATAACGCGAAGGTCGCGGGTTCGATACCCGTACTGGCCACTGTATGTTTTCTCTCACACGTAAAGTTAGTACAATTTGACCAGAGTATCAATCGGGGGAAAAAAGCGAATTAAATGAGTAAGTAACTGCAAATAAGTGTCTATCTAAACACGGAGTAATTTCATGTGTTACAATTATTTCCACAATTGAAAAATGACATTTACAATAGAAATAAATGCATAATAAAGAAAGAATAAAATAAAAATAAAAACACTAAACTAAATACAATAATAACTAAATGTATTGCTTAACACAGACATTATTTCTATTGTAAATGTAATTTTTCATTTGTAGAAATACTTTTAACCCGTTAAATAACTCCGTGTTTAGATAGACACTTATTTGCAGTTACTTACTAATTTAATTCGCTTTTTTCCCCCGATTGATACTCTGGTCAAATGTTACTAACTTTACGTGTGAGAGAAAACATACATTGGCCAGTACGGGTATCGAACCCGCGACCTTCGCGTTATTAGCACGACGCTCTAACCAACTGAGCTAACCGGCCATATCTAATTCGAATAGTGACGTAATATAACAATCAAGGAATAAACGAAACCTACGGAACCGAAAGGTAAATCTTCCTGGCTGGTAACTCCTTACTGACGGTAAGATTTCATAGTTTAAACATGTTAATGCGTTTTACTTTGCTAGATTTATAGAGAAAGTCAATAAAATAACATCAGTCATGCAACAGTTTATGGCTATCAGAGTGATAATGTTCAGGCTGACAAAAACTACAATGTTTACTCTTACTGTGTTCCTTAATGTCTAAAGTTGTATTTGACTTATAACCTACTTTTCTGTTACACACGGACTGCAGCTATAGTTGAATAAACTATCAAGTAATGTTTCATAGAGTTAGTGTAATGTTGAATGTGAATTTTAAAGGCAGACCAACTGAATAAGAGTGCAATACAACCAGCAAGGTTAGCAACATTTATGACAAGCTACAAGATGGACTCACTTCTGACAAGGAAGCAAATACAGGTGATTTAGCAAGTTAAAATGTAAAATCCCACAAGGAGGAAGCGAAACAGGGCAAGGCAAGTTCATTTGTATACAACCTCTTAAGGATTCAGAGTGCTTTAATGTGACAAAAGAGGCATCAAGGCACATTTAAAAAAGAATACACAATATAGATATACACAGAAGGAATCCAAGCTAGCCACACTGTCTCATTGCTTTTGCTTGACTCGTTTAACCCTCATCGCTCATAAATATTGTGTTTTACCTTTGATTGCTTGAATGCCTTATGATTACCTTCACAGTAGGCATTTATTTGAACATATACAATTGCTGATCACAACTTTCATTGAATTTTGAGTGGTTTAGTCAACCTTTTAAAACGCCATAGGAAATGAATGGGTAACCCTAGATTATGTTCATCCATCAGATAGTACGGACAAATCAACAAAATGTTAATGTTGGAATACATGTTCATTGTCTTTTCTTTGTATATTCAGTGCAGTAATCATGTAAACCAGTAGTCTGAGACATTGTTTAAAGATTATAAGGGGTGTTAAATAAAGTTTGGTGATGATTAATGTTTAATCACCAAAGTAAGGGGGGAGAAACGAACATGACAGGAGGGTTAAGTTAAGGTAACAACCTGATTGATCTTAATTCTAACATAATGCCACATCTCCCTTTTAATATCTCACAGAACTTCCGATCTTTACGGAGTCTTTACAACATCCTCCATTAGCCACACGTCTGAACCAGGATGTCAGTGCAGTTCTCCGGCTGGGAGGTGTTTGACGATGGCGCTTCTTTTCCTGGTTTGGAGCTGGACTCGTCCCAGAAACCCCAAAGCAGGGGCGTCTACACCATGTACCACGGGACCAGCATCACCAGTGCACGAGTCATCATTGCCAACGGTTTTAAACAGTCTTCAAAGGGCATGCTGGGAATGGGCGTGTATGTCAGTCGTAATATAAAAAAGGCGACAGCTTATCCTCTGAAAAGTAATCCTACGGACCGAGTTGTCCTTCAGGTACATGTGCGCGTTGGCCGTGTCAAGCGCATTGACAAGGACAACCATCCCATGCAGCAAACATGGCACTCACATGGCTACGACACTGCTTGGGTGCCCCCCAAAGTTGGCCTCCTAGCAGTGCGCAGTGGCCTGGAGGAGGACTGTGTGTTTGATCCCAAAAGAGTGAAAGTGGTAGGCATCGCAAAGGCACCAAATGATTCCATACAGAAAGAACTTCAAGAGCTTCTGATACAATCATCTGGAAGAGGAGGTGAGGGTGCTGCAGAGGTGTGTTCACTGTGTAAGAGAAAGACCCAGCAGGGCGCTCCACACATCAAGCAGCAGTGCTGGGAGTGTGGGAAAAACATCTGCATTCTCATGTCCAAGCATTTCTGTCCAGCCAAACCCTGACGGGGTGAGGGAAGTCAGTCTATGCCAGAGCCGTCAGAGTGTCCTTTAGCCAGGCGCTGTTGACATTTCAAACTGATCCCTACCCCTTCCCACTCTGTGATATAGTCAACATATTGTGAGCCATAATAGGGGCATGAATATGCTTTTTTAGGACCTTCCCTTTCCTGTAGTGTGTTATATTGGTTTATGTGCATGTAAATGTTCTGCAAAGGCTAATATCTCTGTGTTCCCTGCCTGAAATGCCTCCATTGGACTCCTTTGTTTACTTCTGTAACATCCAATACATGTTCCAATATTGTACGTGACGGGTTAAGGGGCGGGACATCTCTAAGATCACAGCAGAGCCGGCCAGCTAACAAATCAGAGCAGACTGGGCTCTGGTTTCAGACAGAGGGTGAACAGAGGTAATGCAGCACAGGCAGTATGAGAAAAATAAAGAGCTTTTTGAACATTAAAGCATGGAGACATGTCACAGTAGAGACACTACATAGAAATATGAACCTGAAAATGAGTATTATAGAGCGCCTTTAAATCTTCATTCGCTGTAAAGGTTGGCCATATGACGTAATGATTGATTGATAAACATGTTTGCTAAACTCCAATTTGACTTTTAAATTATCCCAGTTGTCCTCAGTGTTATCCTGCCACCTGCCTGTGCTCTTTAATGTGTCTTCTAGCGTTTTCTGTTAGTTATTTCTTGTGTATGTTTGCTTGTTTCCTGTTTCCTTGCCCCCTTAAGGACCAACACAATTATCCTGATAGACGCAGCGGGTAACGTGACCTTCACAGAGCGCACCATGCCCACCTGTGACACGAACAAATGGAGCACCAATTCTTTCCAGTTCAAACTGGAGGTGTGAAGACGTGATGGAGGAAACCCACTCTGTGCCTTTCTGCACCCCCCCCCCCCCCCCCCCCCACTTCATTACAGCAGCTGTGTGAACATGAAGTCTCTTCAGCACTTTTTCTTCAGCTAGTCGATACTAGCTTCCTCATTAAAATCTGTGATATGTATTTCTTATTCTAGATTTAAGTTAAGATGCATCTTTTGAAAATGTGTGCTAATTTAAAAATTTGCCAAAGAACATTTTGTGGAGAAAAATGTATTTAACGTGCATTTTACAAAACAGCAGGGTTGAGTTGCTAATTCGTTACAGATCGCTGGTGATCTGCTTTCAAATGCAATCAATACCGATAATTGTAGTGTTTGGACACTCATGAGTACAAATGTTCATAATGACAAGCCTAACTTCATATCAATATGGAAGATCATTTGTAAATCCATCTCCATTGTTCCTGTCTTTTAATGGAAAGAAATGATCTGAATCACTGGGCTAAAGCTGCTGCACATTGTCAACTGTTATTGAGCAGTGACCCCTACTGGAGATTTAAGATATTGCACTTCTCATGTAATCATCCCATAAGTACTGTTGTAGGTAAAAGACGTTTAAACAAGTAGACACATAAAAAGGTTATTTTTAAACATCGGCTAAATGATTCTTATTTTGGTATGGAGTCAATAGAGGGTCAAATGTCTTGTAGCTATGTATCACCATTTCTGTGTGTGAAAACGTTATGAATATATACATTCTGATATCTATAAATGTGTGAACAATATTTAAACAAATAGGTTTTCCTATAAGATCTGTAGCTCCGCATCACATTTCGTGAACAAATAAAAACATGTTTGCATAAATCATTTTGATACGTGCGAGTGCATAAAGAACATGTCCTCAAAGGTTTTCATTTACATATATGGTTTTAATTATGGAGGACCGAACATGACACAAGTATACATAAATAAATGTATGAATAAAAACATAAATAAATACAGGAATAATGAATTTCAGTTTCTTAAATCACTTAATCACTGATTATAATGTTCTTCTTACTTGCAATTATCTAGCTCATTAATGCTCCTGTGCGTTCCCCACCAGAAATATAATAAACATGCCATTCTTTTCAGTTTATCTTACTCTGATGGCTTACTTGATGATTTGACAGATATAATGTTCAATTAAAAGTGAATTGAGAAGCTGAAGACCAAACTTGTCATTACTGGGTGTTGAACGTTAGGTTGCTGCATGTTATATAACAGTTGTACACCTAACCCTAACGAGATACCAACCAGGGATATTTACCTTTCGGTTCAGTAGGTTTCGTTTATTACTTGATTCTTTTATTATGTCACTACTAGGACTACCCATGGCCGGTTAGCTCAGTTGGTTAGAGCGTCGTGCTAATAACGCGAAGGTCGCGGGTTCGATACCCGCACTGTATGTTTTCTCTCACACGTTGAGTTAGTACAATTTGACCAGAGTATCAAACGGGGGGGGGCGGGAAAGCGAATTAAATGAGTAAGCAGTGGCGAGCCGTGAGCTTTATACCTAGGCCCTCTGACCCCCACCAATTCCCTCGAAAAAAAGAAAAAAAATGAGTTATTACGTCACAGCGTATACTTCAGCGGAATATCAAAACAACGGCCCAGGGTGCAAAACGCATCACTGACAGCGACCCTCTACCACACAAAACAACACCTGTGAACCCAATTTGTGTTCTTTGACATTGAAAATGATATTGCATTGTATTTGTTACTTTCGTTGCAGTTGTATGTCTTAAGTGTAATTTGGCATGCTTTTATTTTGAAGGCGAGTTCACGCTGTGAGTAAGTAACTGCAAATAAGTGTCTATCTAAACACGGAATAATTTAATGTGTTACAATTATTTCCACAATTGAAAAATGACATTTACAATATAAATAATTGCATAATTAAGAAAGAATAAAATAAATAAAAACACTAAACCAAATTCAACTAGAAAATGCATTTCCTGCAGAAAATGCGTGCGAATGCTGTAAACTGTGAACATTTGTGGCTGAATTTAGCTGAAAATGCAGAAAAAGCTGAATATTTTATTAGCTGACTGGTAGCTGCTTTTAGCTAGAGAGACCAAGTCTGTGGGTGTTTCTCAAACGCGAGTACACTTGCTTGGTAGCACATGTCTTCCGAGCGTCTTGCTTCAGAAGCGAGGCAAGAATACTTCCGGGCATTCGGAAAACGAAGAGTGGAACAGGCTAGCAAGTGTGCAGGTGTGCGTCATATGAGAGGCTCTGGGTGTTTCTCAATCGCGAGTACGCTTGTTTGGTAGCACATGTCTGCCGAGCATCTTGCTTCCGAAGCGAGCCAAGAATACTTCCTGACATTTGGAAAACAAAGAGTGGAACAGGCTAGCAAGTGTGCAGGTGTGCGTCATATGAGATGCCCCGCCTTACATTTTCCGTCACAGATTTGGGGAAATTGGTCCGTGCGCAAAGCATTGTGGGGATTTTAAGACCGCGGAGTCTACTCATGTGCAGCCTCGATATTTCTCCAAACGGAGTACGCCGGGCTCGGTAGATTTCCAAGGCTGCGTTTCACTTCTCTTATTTTTCATTTCCTCGCTCCTCGGTCTCGGTCTCACCGGAAGTTGATTTGTCTGCGCCATCTTGAGTAGCGTCCCAATGGCCTTATTTTTGCCGGAGGACCGAGGATCGAGGAGCGAGGAGCGAGGAGCGATAATGGAGGAGCGATAATCGAGGAACCACCAGACCATCCTTCGATGAAATCCTCAGACACTCGCCCCGCCCCCTTACTGTGTATCGCTCACTGATTGGACGATGCAGCGCATGCACTGATCTGATGCTTCTTGACATGAGAGCAGTTTCCCAGCGGAGTGAAGAAAACACATGAAACTCACGGGACTCACTCCTCAGTTCATACCGTGTTTTGTTTCAATTAATGTATCATTTAGTTACAAATATGTGATATATCTGAACAACAAAGTGGTCAAAAATTATTTCATTCATTTATTGGAAACATTTTCGTGATCGCTTTTTTCGTTTTACATTTTCATTTATTGTCATTTCCATTCAGTCAGTCATTAAGTGCTATTTAACATGTTAATTTGCTACATATCCACACAAACAAACTAAGTGTGCAATCCAATGAATGTTAATCTAACTGGGTTTTGATAGATAACATATCTCTTTTTCTTCTCTCAATTCTTTTATTTATATTGTGCACTCTAATCAATATTAATCAAACTAATATTCGTTTATACATTTTAAGAATGGCGTTTATCTTTTTTGAGAATTAGTTCATATTTGATTTTATTTATTTGGGTCTACAACAGATGATACAAATGTTTGTGTCAGTAAATGTGTAGGCCTACTAACAGAGGCGGGGGTGTTTGTGAAAATAACGGGGACAGAGCTGGCTGCTGTCAGACGATCAGCTGTGCGGCGTCATCACAAACGGACGTCGCTTCACGTGACGCTCCGGAGGAAAGGACGTCCCATTGCTCTTAAAACTCATTTCCCTGCTTCTCGTGGTTTCCTTGCGTCTCTCCATGCTTCCCTGGTGGGAGGGACTAGTCGCAGGGAAACGACGCAAGTGAGGGACGCAAGGAATCCATTTAACCGAAGTGAAACGCAGCCCAAGGGTGTTTCTCAATCGCGAGTACGCTTGCTTGGTAGCACATGTCTGCCGAGCATCTTGCTTCAGAAGCGAGTCAAGAATACTTCCTGGCATTCGGAAAACAAAGAGTGTAACACGCTAGCAAGTGTGCAGGTGTGCGTCATATGAGAGGCCCCGCCTTACATCTTCCGCCACAGATTTGGGGAAATTGGTCCGTGCGCAAAGCATTGTGGGGATTTTAAGACCGCGGAGTCTACTCATGTGCAGCCTCGATATTTCTCCAAACGGAGTACGCCGGGCTCGGTAGATTTCCAAGTATGCTGGAGATTGGAACAGTACTTCGGCGGCACTCGATGACGTAGTATGCTTGAAATAGTGGCTCTGAAGCAGCTTTACTCGCGATTGAGAAACACCCCCTGCCTTACATTTTCCGCCACAGATTTGGGGAAATTGGTCCGTGCGCAAAGCATTGTGGGGATTTTAAGACCGCGGAGTCTACTCATGTGCAGCCTCGATATTTCTCCAAACGGAGTACGCCGGGCTCGGTAGATTTCCAAGTATGCTGGAGATTGGAACAGTACTTCGGCGGCACTCGATGACGTAGTATGCTTGAAATAGTGGCTCTGGAGCAGCTTTACTCGAGATTGAGAAACACCCAGGGTGTTGCTGAATTTAGCGGAGGAATGCAGAAAAGTGAAATGATATGAATCAAATTATTACAGCTCAAATGCATTCCAATGACTTTGTTGAAAACTTGAAAGTGAAATGTTAAACTGGAAGAGTAGGAAAAATAGTGGAGAAGCTTAATATTTAAAAGAAAAGGTTTAAAAAAGGTATAAACAACATGTATATCCTCAATGTCCTGAAATAGCTGAATAAGTTAATAGTTGAATGGTTTCTGCAGCTGCAAGTAGGCTGAAGGAGTTACATATCAGATGTAAGTAGTAGTGAATGAATGTGTATTAGGAAGAGAAAAGAAAGTAAAAAGGCTTGGGAAAGCAGCAGAATATTTTGACTGCAAACTTTTTGACTAAAACCATACGTCACCAATAATGTATAAAATATGTGGAACATGTTGAAGTCAGTATGAAGTCTCCATCAGACAGAAAAGAATAGGCTGAGACAGTCTGTTAATCTTACACTTTGACAGTACATATCCCCTTTAAAGCCAGTCTCCTTAACTGTTGCTGAACAGCAGACAGTGCAGCCTCTAAGTTATAGAAAAGTGCTGAATGTCAAATGTAGCTTAGTAATTTAGCATCAGGGTACAAGGCTTTGCTGGTGTAACATTAAGAAAGTCAAAAGAGTCAGTCTGGATTGCAGAATGTTTTAACACGAGGCACATCATTTCTCTTTATTCTGAGAAAGTCTCATTTTAAAGATGCTTTTTGTTAAACCTATCCAGCAATTGTTGGTCAGCAAGATCTCCTAAATCAGAGCCGTGGTCTGTTCCTATTCAATGTCATAGAAAGGCCTTGTGGCAGTCATTTGACTATTACCCTGTACATTATGCCCATGCATCAAAATACATCTCTGCTCACTGTTATTAGAGCATTCGTATTGTACTATCTTCCTGATTGTATTGTATATAGTTTATATTTGTGTTCATGTGCCATGTTTAGAGCTTTAGTAAAGTGCAAGTGCGTTTTCAGAAGGAAATACTTGTGTGCTTTGGAGCTACATGCTGTAATGTAAAAGTACCTGTTGTGCCTTGTGGCCACTGGAGGGCAGCAGAGGAGCAAGTCAGTGCAACGATCAGTTGTGAATGAAAAGAAATATGAGACACAAAGCAATAAGTCTCCCTGGCTGAAATGAATACATTATGTTTTATAAGATATATCCACACAAGCTTATGGTCTTTTTTGCCTAATGTTCATCTTCATTTTGCACAAGCTGGGAATTATTTGTGGTAATGTGGTGGCTCAATTCAATGTTTACAAAGCTTTAGTGCGATGGGCAGCTTGGTCTTCACTTGCTAGAAAGCGTTTTAAAAACAGACCATTATCCCTCCCGACCAACATCTTCTGGAGATTGTAAAGAACATTTGTTTTGGTCTGGCAATGTTTAGCACTGCCAACATTTGATTTAATATAATTTACTCCTTGTCAAAAATGTATAGAAGGTTTAGTGCGACATCTCCAGGTGAGCAGGTAGTCTGTCTTTGCTTATGTTAAGGTGTGGTTGTGTTTAGTGTTGCCAAGTTCAGTTGACCAATCATATATTAGGCCAACAGTGAAAACACCCTCTCTTATGCATATGTGGTAACTGTGGCTGGGGTCACCTTTAAATAGCTGACAACACCAACTCCTGTTAAGGGGATGGAGGAACCTGTGGACCCTCAATCTAAATCCAAAGTTGTTTTGCAGATGTTGGGGCTTCCCTTCACAAGGACAATAACAGAGGCATTCATGACCAAATAGAATGCAGCTTTATTTCACAAATATACATGTTAAAATGTCAATGTTCAGCAGCTGTCAAAGGGTAACAGGGTGAACATACTTTACTCTATTACATGGTGGGTTTCCCCTCCTCAGATGGGCAGGTCTGGTCCACTAGGTCACAATGCCTGCTAACTGTGAGGGACAAAAAGAGAACAAAAGCATGCACTACTCAAAGCATAACTTCTACAAAATGATTACAGAGAGAGTTAGTTTACTCACCCTTTTAAAGTGTCACACAGTGCAGTCCCTACACTGAAAGCAGACGAGGTTCCCCCAGAGGGAGAGGAGCCTGTAACACAAACACTTAGTCAATTATATTGCCCACAATCTGCACACAAGAAAACTATTGACAGAAAATAAAAATAAAAAAGCACTAGAGGACAGTAGTCTTTTTAAAAAACAAACGCAACATAATAGTTGCCAGCTCAAACACCAATTCAATATAACATTAAAGAAGGTTAAAAACCAGGCTTACTTTGACAGAGTAATAGATCCTCCAGGCTCAATCCAGGAGGGGAAACGCTCATACTCGGCTCTATGGATTAAACACAAAAACAACAACGGGAGAGACGAGAAACTGCGACACCGTTGGCATTGGCAGAAGGAAGAATGGAGAGAAATATGTGGAAATAATACCATAAATAAAATGTTACCTCTCATTTATCATATATGAAGAATTACTTTGCAAAACTTGATTAAAGCCAATCTTAAAATTATGAAACAAACGCCTGTTTGAGACTCCTCAGTGCACATAAACACATTGGAGAAATAAATAAATACGGAAATGTTATTTATCACCCCTCGATGACATGTTCTCTTGTTAAGAAATGTATTCTCATAAATGATGCGGTAAACAGGACAGAATTACTTTAAACTGACGCCGTTTTGTATTTCTATAGGTTGCATAGATACGAGCATGGTTTTATATACTATCATGTTTAATCATGTTTTATGCCGTTCTTCAATACTTGATAAGTCGCTCGTAAAACACAGGAGGTATGGAAACTAAGAACACCTATGTGGTAAATTGTGCAGCTAATTTAACACAACACGTGTGTTTTATTTAATCTTAACTGGTGGGTATAGAGTTGCTGCGGGGAGGGAGGGTGGGTGGTTGAGACGCACAGGCTGCAGTGGAGACGCTGCGCACAGCTGATCGGCAGCTGGAACACAAAACACCAAATACAAATTAATAATTCAGATCCAGTCGTCATGACTCCACTCCGGAGGGATTTCCCGATACTTTCTTACAGTTTCTGATCTCCTGTCCCCGGCACAAACACACTGACACACTGCCTGAGGAAGGTTATGTGTATTTTGTTTGTCATTAACTTTAACTTTTCGGAACACTTATTTATTTTGGTGACGATCCGACCTCCATGCTGCTACTCTGGTTGAAACTGCATCCACCAAACAATGTCATTTGTCTCCACCTCCCCAAAAGAACCAAAATCTGACTCGGTGTGAAATGTCTTTTTTAGCTGTTCTGTCGTCATTTCCTGCGATATTCTTCATGCAGTCAGTCAAAATGAATATTAATACGGGGCGTTTCTTTGACTATATATATATATAGGCAAATATGGGCGTCACGTGAAGCCCGCAAAAGCTGCGCAGCATTTCGTGTTGTTTGTGGTTTATAAAAAGGGAAACCGGCGTAGGACGGGCCACTCGCTGTGTTTTATGAATCGGAAAATGTCTGTGCGTATTAGTTTGCTTTGTCCTACGTAAGCCACCTTCCCACGTGAATCCTACGCAAAGCTTTATAAATGAGGCCCCAGGTCTCGTGCTTTGAATGTCTGAAGAGTTTCCCTCCATGATGGGAAAACGTATCTTGCCCTCGCCCTAATGAAATCCAAACTGACCTGAGACCCTTTCATAGGTTCATTGAAAAGACCATAAAACCACCTTAAACCCGCGAGTCCTACCTTGAGGGAGATAACTTTTTTTTTTTTGTCTTTTTTATTAGAAAATTCACAATTTAATATTTACAAAATGTACAAGTGGTTTCAACGTGGCCCTACATTTAAAACAATCAAAAATAATCATCATGCAAAACATGACAAAATAAAAGAAATAAACTGAATGCAATTAGCCAAAAATAGATTGCCAAAAAACAAATAGATCTTACTTGGGTTGTTCAAATCATAGGAACTGAAAATACAAAAACAGAAAA